TTTTTCAAATAAAATTAGTTTAGGTTTGAGTTTTCTCACTTGTGAGAAATTTCATCAGTTTAGATAAAAAAATATATGACATAATGATAGGTTGAAGAATGACTCAATATTCAAGAATAAATTGAAAGCAATTAAACTTACTGGAATATATTATAAAATAAACATAAAATATAAGTACAAGCTAATTCCCCAGATTATTAAAACTAAAAGTCAGCACAAGAATTGAACACTTTTTTATATATATAAATTTAATTTGAAATGTTTATTTTACTAAAATGTGATATTAAAATCGCATAAAAAATTATCATCTCAAAAATTTTTAATGATAAATATTTAACAATTAATGTACGTGATTTAAAATCAATTTGATGCGCATAATTACAAAATATATTATTATTATTATTATTTGCTTAAGAAGTATATGAAAAACAAATGAAAGAAAAGTTTAACAATAAGGTTTTGGCTAAATGGTTCGAACTTATTTTTTAATTTTAAGTTATTTAAGAATCAATTTTTCAATTATTTAATTTTAGATTGGATTTCCCTCTAACTATTTTTCATTTGAAATTTAATCTTTATATTAGGTTTCTATTAGTTTTAAAAGTAGAATTAAACATAATTTGTATTTGGTTTACTTTCTTTAACTTTTCTAACACTTAAAAATATGTTAAAACACATGACCGCTTTACATTTTCTTAAAAACTTCTTCTTCTTTTTCTTTTTTATTTTTCCTTCTAAAATGTTTTTTAATTACGTACTTATTATCATTTAGGAGAGAAAAAAATAAGTTTTAGAGGAAAAAGTAAAATATTTGTATGTTTTGGCATATTTTTAATCATCAAGGAATTGAACTTATATATTAGAATTAATAAAAATCTAAAAGAAGAAGATAATTTCAAATGAAAACTAATTGGAAACAAGTCCAACTTAAAATAAAAGTTGATAAACCCATTTTTAAATTACTTAAAATTCAAAAAGGTTTGTACGGTTGTGCCTAAAGTTTTTAGAATGTTATGAAGTGAAAATGGTTAAGTCGTACAAGTTCTCAAAACAGCCATGCCCTTTTGATATAGCGCATGTGATTTTCAAAATATTTGGTTTTCATAAATTACATATGATAATCTTAAAAAGTCTCAATATAACAATTTAGTATCTAATTAATAATTTATCGATTTAATAAAAATACTTTGTGCTCACAAAACATCAGCACAGATGCGTACTCATTTCAAGTGCTGCAAAGCAGTCTGCGAGAATGAATTAAAGATATATAATTTTTTTAAAAAAAAATTGTATCTCCTCGACTAAAAATAATAATTGAACAATGTAAATGTACATTTAGTAATTTGTAATTTATAATTTTAGTCTATTTTAACTTTTATTCGAGTGGATGACAAGTGGCTCTGCAGCAATATGGAAGCCTGATTGCTAGTTATAGCTAGATGAACAACCAAATTAATAAGTTCAACCTGTTTTATGGCTTGTAATGCCAAAATTAAGTAGCCACTGACTCAGTATAACCTGGTGGTTGTAAACATATCCCAGGTATGATTGCCACTAAGACAAACCAAATGTATAATCCAGTTTAACATGCTCCTAAGACAAGGACCCCATTGACCCCTCAAACCCAAGTGGAGTCTGACACCATTTGTAATGCTTTAAGTAATCATTAATCCAACATAATTTGATGGTTTGGACCTTATGTCTATACAATCTTAAAAACTTAAACTCTAGTTATTAGCGATTCAGGTTCTTATTTGTCTAACATCTTTTTTAATTCTATCCATATAGGATGGAGCCATCACATTTCAGTGAAAAAGTATTAGTATATCTTTATATAATATCTCATTTGTCTAACATCTTTTTTAATTCTATCCAAATAGGATTGAGTCATCACATTTTAATGGGAAAATATCCATTTATTTTTATATAATATCTTATTATATAAAGTTTCATATTTGTTTTTAGATTTTTAATTGCTTTTCATCTGTTTTTAATTTTTTTTTAAATGCTCAATATGTTTTTTTGATCATTTTTTTTTTTTTTTTACCATGAATGTTTTTTTAATACCGAAATATCCTTTACTAAAATGTAAAAAAAAAAAAAAATTAAAGTCTTTAGAATTTTTTTACATTTCAATTAAGGACATTTCGATAAATTTTTTTTCTTATGCCTAACAAAATTGGTAGAAATGACGGATTCAATATTATAAAAATTTTGAAGGATAGACAATATATAATTGAAAACTTAAAGACAGAAAGAAGGTTTTTTTAATATTATATAAAGATAAATTAATATTACCACTCTATTCTTTTTATTAGTAAATTATTCGAATAGAATGAAGTTATCATAAATAACATGATGAAGATATTACTTCTGTTACAATGACGATTTGGCGTTGGTTATGATGCCACGTTGATCTAATTAACCATCTAAGAAAATAAGCTCTGAGGTAATTGCCTGAAGCTCCGAAAGAAAACCATAGTAGTTACGTTACCATATATGGTCACTAAACGTTTTAAGAGAAGACCTTTTTTTTTATTTACCTGTTAGTTTTGGTGGTAAGTTTTGGAAAACTTTCGTAATTTGTATACTATATTCTCTTTGTTCTTAAAAAATTATTCTCTTTTATATTTCTCATAATTTAAGAAATTTATTAATTATTATATCATATCAGTACTTTTTATTTATATTTTTTTCTAAAATATCTCTTTTGTTAAAATTGTTTGTTATTAAACTTAATATAACATTACATGAAACTAATATTAATTTTAAGAAGAAAGTTTATCTACAATTAAGGTGTTAAATAAAAAAATCATTAAGTTAACTAATAAGTAAGTTCAAAACAATTAAGAAAAAGTAACATACTCTTCAAATTTTGACATGCAATAAAGTCTTTATAAAAATGAATATTTTTTATGTAAGAAAAAATTTCTTTTGAATTTTTTTTGTCAAATGTATTTTGTATGTATGAAGGAAAAATATAAAAATATTGATTTTTTGTTAATGAAGAAAAGAAAATAGAAAAAAAATTAATTTTTTTTATCAACTGGAGGTAATTTTTTTAAAATATTATTAAAAATTTTAACTAGATATATTTTTTGAGACAGATATAAATAAAAAAATAATATCTCTCAGATACAGAGAGTAATATATGTCATAATATCTCAAGTCATCGATTTCTATTAACATTTTCCATCTCTTGCGGATAATCTATGTCATAAAGTGATATCGTTTTGAATTCAGTTTGAGGAAAAATTTATGACATTAATAAAAGGATTTGATTGAAAACTGTCTAAGAAAGTTATGACTAAATTGATAAAATTTACAAGTTTCGGATGTAATAGAGAATGAATATATAGTTCAGTAAGTAACTTGAGGTTTGCTCATGAGTTTTGTATGATATACTTTACGTGTATTGCCTCCCAAGAGACGGATCGGAAGCGTGAAAGCCAACAAGTTTGGTATTAACGCACGTGCCACTAGAGATGGTAACCACTAACATGGTTTGTTAGGATTCACATTCTCCATTTCAAACATACAGCAGTCGTGATTTCGTGCAGCATCTACTGATTTTTGAAAGAAAAAACCGTTGGGTCATGAAACCAACTGCTTGTCATGAAACCAAGCCAAGGATGAAAAATGTCTTTTGAGTAAGGAATTTTTGAGAACCTATTTGGATGCCGAGGTGGTGCAACATTGGCATCATTTTTTTTAAAACTGTTTTCATTTGTTTTTTTTTTCTTTTGTTGTATTTGAATTTCTGTCATTATTTTCTTGTGTGTGTATTTTATTAATTTTGTTTTTCTTTTCAATAATTTTGATCGAGAAAAATAAAAAATTAAGCATTGAAAATATTTTTTTTCTAATTTCAATCAAGTGCTAGTGATACCAATCACGTCAATAATTGACAATTTCAATTTACACGAAACATTCAAATATATATATATAAATTGATCATTTAAATAAGAAAAAGGTTTACTCAATTAATTGATCTCTATATAGTTTTAATTTTTTTGATTGAGACTCTTTATTATTTTTTAACTTAATTGAAACCTTTTATTTTTATAAATTTATTGATTGAGACCCTTTGTTATAACACTATTAACTATCTATCTCACGTGTCAATCGAGAACCGACATATGGAATTGTGGATAAAAAAATTTACTATGTATCATTGTTTGATTAGCTATCATTAGTTTTAACTTGTTATGTATAATAAATAGTTAACGGTTTTATAATGAAGAATCTTAATTAACAAATTTATAAAAACAGAAGGTTTCAATCAAACTAAAAAAATAATAGAGGGTATCAATAAAAAAAATTAAAACTGTAAGGAGACTAATTATTAGATAAATCCAATTAAAAAAAATAAAAAAACTCAAATATAATAAAAATAAAAGTATAGAAACCGACATTACAGTTTTCTCTTATTGGGATAGATTAGGGGTGGGCGTACGCAAGTACCTTCAGCTTACAAAGTTGACAAATATAGAAGCATCCATGTGGATTATGCTATATCTATTACACTTTTTTCAAGTGTCCGCTAAGGATTAGCCGTCACTACCGTTCTTGGTAACGTATCCTTTGAGGACTGTTTGAATAAATGACCTCCGAAACTCCTATTTCTACACATGAAGGAGGATGGATGCCTCGAAGCTCGTTGTAATAATTTATAAGGACAAGAGTTAAAACTAAAACCACGTGAGTGGGAGGAGACCTCAAATCCAAGAAAGAGAACAGAAGATAGAGTCAAACTGTCAAATTAGGAAATTACTCCTAAGGATAAGAAAGACCCTTTTCTTTCCTACACACCCTCCCCGCTTTATCTTCTTTTGCACTCTCCACAATTTCCCCTCTCTTCTCTGTATTTGTACAGCATATAAATATAAATATATTAAAACAAATCTCTCCTCAGATCCCCATTCCCATCTTCTCTTTTACATTACATCTTCTCTTGGAAAGCAACGCGCACACAGATACACTTTTGTTGTTCGATTTTTATGTCTGGAACTGGAATGTTGTGGAGATGGAGGAAAGTCAAAGACGCAACAAAACCTCTGTTGCTCGTCACTTCCCGCTTCCGGTCTTCACGAGCAATCTCCACGCACTTTAACTACTTAAACATCGGCTGTAACCGTCGGAAGGAATCTTTAATCGGAATCCAAGAGCGTTACAAGTGGGGGAATTCTAAGGACGACAACAACAACAACAACAACAACGTCACCAATGTTCGCAAAATTAGGGCAGAAGCCAATTGTCCGAGGTGCTCTAAACACATGGATGTGCTCTTCTCGAATCGGAGTTTCCTATTTAGTAATAACTCTAATCTTGATCGTCATCCTTATTTGAATCATCTCAACAACAACAATAATAATAGTAGTAATTCTAGTACTGCTGATAGTGGCGATTGTAATGGAAATGGGCAGAATAATACTAATAATTATCAGGCTGTGAATTTCTGTCCGAATTGTAAGACAGCCTATTATTTCAGGCCGAATAAGATTGCGCCGTTACAGGGTAGTTTTGTTGAGATTGGTAGGATTGGTAATAAGGGGAATGGGAGAAATGGGAAGAAGGGAAGTAAGGAAGAGAGTCATGGTGGTGGTGAAGAGGGGGAGGATTATGCAAATGTTACCTATAGTATTAATAAGAGGTTAAGGGCGTCATTTTGGGAGACGTTGAGGTCATATGGAGGGGATCCGCCGGAGAATTGGCCACCGGGGATTCCTCCTCCGTCGCCACCACCGGGTGAGAATGGGCTGGCTGTGCATACACCTCCTGGTCCGCCATTTGCTCCGGGGGTTAATGTGGTTAGGGCTGCTGGGCCAGGCAGAGAAAAGAGTGGTGGTGGTGGTGGTGGTGGGAATGGAGCTGGTGAGAAGAATGGTGCTGGATGGGGTGGGTCGAATTTGGGGAAGGAATTTCCGACGCCAAAGGAGATTTGCAAAGGTCTTGATAAGTTTGTTATTGGACAAGACAGATCAAAAAAGGTTTGATTTTTCACTACATTTTGTTCGTATTTGGATTTTCAATGTCGTTTGTTGATGTGTGGTTGTAATCAGTTTCTGAGTTTTGATGCTTATAAGGTTTTGTAATTACTAGCATGTGTTTGTTGATTATGGTTTATCATTGTATGCCAAAGATGCCTTGCTTGTATTTGGGTACCGATGAAGGTTGTTATGTTAGAGTGTTTGTTGCATTGTATTTAGAAACCTTATTCGAATTCTCTTGTCTAGTCAATCGTCACCCTCTCATTCTTCCTTCTCATCTTGGATTCTATTCTATGAATGCCTCATGGTTATTTGTTTTCTGGAACATTGTTGATATGACATTGTTTCAATGCTTGTTGTGTCAGTTGCTTGAACCAACTCATGGCAAGGTGCTCTGGTAAATTGAATGTAGCATATTGTAGATATCAAATGGTTCTGGTTTGGGGCACTGAGTGATAAACCATCAGATATTTACTCAGATTACAATGTCAGTTTCCTGAAAGATTGTTTGTGGACTCATTTATTGACATAGTCTTGAGCATTCTGTAGTCTTTTAAGAGCACTCAACAGGTGATTCATTTTTATGTTGTAGGTCCTTTCTGTGGCTGTCTACAACCATTATAAGAGGATTTACCATGCCTCCTTACGGAAAGGGTTAGTTTCCAGTTACTTTCTCGTCTTCTCATATTGCTGCTATTGAAATAATTGAACCATAGAATTCGTACTGATTAGTGCTTTATTTCATTTCCTTGAATAGAAATGTTTAGCATATTTTAAGTGGTGTAAAAATGTGGTCTCAGATTATCTCAATTATTTGACTTGTGAAAGAAAGCTGAAGTGATGGATTCTAATACTAGGTCAGGAGCAGAATCAGGAACTTCGGAGGCTATAGATGATGACGATAATGTTGAGCTAGAAAAAAGCAATGTACTCTTGATGGGCCCAACTGGTTCAGGTATGATCTCTACTCTGTCTCTGTGTATTTCAAGTCACTACGGCTCGCAGTGAAAATCAGTGCTTACCACATTGTTATCTTTTTAGTCCTGCTCTCAAGCTTTTGAATTTCGAATGCTGGATTTCTGTTCTAACTTATATGTTAAATAGGGAAGACATTGTTGGCAAAAACACTAGCACGCTTTGTGAATGTGCCATTTGTGATTGCTGATGCGACAACGCTAACTCAGGCAAGCCTACTTTGCATTCATATTGCTACAAGACTGAAAATACCTCGTGGTTATTTTTATTTCAGTTAGTATTGGACATTTGTGTAAAAAAAATTGAACTTTCAGATTCAAGCTTTCTTGAATAATCATTTTATTTATTTATTTATTTTCTTCAACATGCCAGCATATTTGATGTCTTCCATTAGCTCTAATAATGTTTTATTGAAAAGGAAAACATGGCACCCTTGTTGATGGAACTCACATGTTTCTCTCATATCCTGTTTTCTTATTTTATCCACAAAAGTGAAGGAAGTCCTTTAGTAGTAATGTATAGATATCCTACAGCGCAAAGTAAAACTGCTGGGCCAGTTTTTAGTTTCTTTTGTTTTGATATATACTTTTCAATGGTCACACTATTATGCATCTCTCTCTCTCTCTCTCTCTCTCTCTCTCTCTCTCTCTCTCTCTACTTATTCACAACTCATTACTGTTTAACTGAATGAAGCAACTAATTTTTGCAGGCTGGTTACGTTGGTGAAGATGTTGAATCAATATTGCATAAATTACTCACGGTATATGTGAACTTTTAACTTTCTAACTTATGCAAATTCTCATTGTTGTTTCTTATCCTTGGAGTTGCATTGTTTTATGTACTTGGTGCCTTTTTGGAGAAGTTCAGCAAATAGTTTCACTAGTTCTGTTTCAACGGAATTTGTGTCTAATTGTGCCTTTGTTATAGATTATAAGATGCTTGTATTTACTTGAAGGAGAAGGGAGGTTGCGAAGTATAATTACTCTTCTTCAAAATGAATGCCTTCATGAGGCAAAGGAAATTATGTGAGTGAGGAAGCAGTGGTGGAATTCATTCCACAAAGAACTTACTAGCCAGAAATAAAATATTTGGAAATTATGGATTTTGATGTCAAATAGCCATGGAAGTGCATAGGAGTTGTAGGAATTAACACTCTAGGTTCTAACCAAAGTTATTCTGGCCTATTAATAAACGCTAGTTCTTTGTTCCTATTATTTTTTTTTTAACCAATAAAAATCTGATGAAGAAGAGTCGTCAAGGTAGCCACAACAGCTTGCAAAGGTACAAATTGGATATTTTTTGGTGGTAATATTTGAACCTTTTAGGTTGGCTAAATTATAAAATACCCCTTGAGCTTGAGCGAAAAAACAAATACCCCTCTAAACTAAAACATCCCTGATTTTACATCCTAAACAATATTATTTTTTGAATTTGTCCCTTCTCTTAGGATTTCATTGAGAAATTGACGGAAAAAAGCCCTTAAAAATCCTCACAATTCCTCTCTTTTCTCTATTAGTAAACATGTTTTCTTAAGTTGGTAGAGAAAAGGATAGGAATTCGGAGGGTTTTTATGGGTTTTGCCATCAATTTCTCAATGAAACCCTAACGAAGGGGCAAATTCAAACAATCATATGGTTTAGGGTGCAAAATCAGGGATTTTTTAGTTCAGGGGATGTTTGATTTTTCGCTCAGCTTCAGGGGGGTGATTTTACAATTTAGCCTTTTAAGTTTGATAGTCTTGATAGCTGAGGCCTTGAATATTTGAAGGATTATGATAAATAAATAAAGAAGGGGACAAGTAATGGCAAAACTGATTCAGACAGGGCCATTTATGTTTCTACCGATGGGAAATAATGGGAGACAGAATATGGAGCTAATTTTTTTGTTTAACATTCATGAATTTGTTAGTTGTCTGAGAAATTTTAACTCAATTAATGCGTGTTCGAAATTGTGTTTTCTCTTCATTTTTCCCTTTGTAAGCTGGGGTTGCATTTGATGCTCAAAAATTCATTTTCAATGGGTTTGGGTAGACTTTGTTCAGCTAAAAGTAGCATAATCCTGTTGCAGAGTGCTCTTTTGGGTGGGCATTGAATGTTTCCGTCTAGTATTCATGTTCCAGAATTTTGCAACTATTCCTACATTAATCACGCTTCCAGTTGGATTGGTTGTTAGCTTTGATAAAAGTTTTAACTATTGTTTATGCACATACAAGTCATTCAGGTTTTAACTATCATTTATATTTTGTTTAAAATATTCTTTCTTCCTGAAATTGAACTTTTTATGGAAGTATTGAAATCTGCTGAAGTTGAGAATTTTTTTTTCCCATAATAGGTTTGTATAAAATGCAATCAGAGCTATGACCTGTCCCTTTTATGTGCACGTAGTTGGTGCTTCGATGCATGTGTGTATTTGTGGAAGGAATAGCCCTTTCAGTTGTCTCTAATAATTTAATGGGTATTTCATGCAGTTGCTTTCATCCATGATTTCAAAAAGTATAATCTGCATTAATTTAAAGAAGCTAACATAATTTCCTTTATTAATGAACGGAACTTTTATGTATCATTATTCAACCTTTAACCATCTTAGTGACATAAAAGTTATGTGAATGACCCTTTTCCAAAATGTACTTCATTTTCTCTATCGCATGAAAGAATGGTGATCTTTAAGGGATGAAATTCTTTTTACTGGAATGTTGGCTGCAACTCATTGTCAAGCATTTGAATTGTGTATTGACAGTATAGCTGATGGATGTTTATTCCAAACTGGGTTTGGGGGAACTAACATTATAACTGTGCTGAAGTGTGTTTTGTAACAAACTATTCTCTGTTGAGCAGGTGTTTTATCTAAGTTTGGTCAGTGTAGTTAATGTTCATGCTTGCTTCACAGTTTAATGTTTTCATTTTGATATAGCTTATTCCCAACCACATGCTGGATCTTGCAGCTTTTTAGTTGAATTTAATAAGAATGGAAAACCCCTTGACTTTTCACTTATTAGAGAACTTACATAGAGTTCTTTCTTTGCTTTAGGCAGCGGAATTTAATGTGCAAGCAGCACAACAAGGAATGATCTACATTGATGAAGTTGATAAGATAACAAAGAAGGTTATCTTAATTTTCCATCTTATCAATTAGTTAATATAATATTTGATGTATGCAATCTCTTTTTTAAGACTTCAAATGTTGTGGTGATTTTGCAGTCTGAGAGCTTAAACATAAGCAGAGATGTTTCTGGTGAGGGTGTCCAACAGGCATTATTGAAAATGCTGGAAGGAACTGTGAGTACATGAATTCTAAACTGCTTATCATTTGTTAACTTGAGTACTTGCTAATGTTCACATCTGTGGGGGCTGATTGCAGAAATTTCTGAATGATTTGTGTGAAAGTGACTTGTCTCATATGATGTTCTTGGTGTATTTTGACTTCATTTAGTTGCTGTTTCTATAAATATATTAGGATTCTTTAGCAATTATGCTGATTATAATTTAACATATCACGCTGGATATATCATGTAAGTCAGAGGTGACATATTGTGTTGTGATGAATCTTAAATTAAATGTCATAAATATTTGAAAGAGTCGAAGGGTGACCTCTTCATAGAGACTAGTAGACTGGTGAATGGGAGTACTTTTTGCAAATAGCTTTAACAATAGTTTATTTGAAGAGTGAATTGGAGATGGTGTAAGCTTAAGGAGACCTTTGATTGAGTCCATAGGAAGACAGTTACTGGGAAAGGCATTTTTCATTACAGGGTAGGATTCCATATCATTTTTTGTTGAGGAATATGTTTGAACTGCAGGTTTAGCTATTTTAGGAGAATGAAGTAATTTATTCACTTTTTGTCATAAAAGGGGTAAAATGAAAGGTTGATTGATAATTATGACGTTCATAAGGCTTTAGGAATAATTTGAAGTGGAATTGTCATTGACATTCTGAGAATAAGGGATTGGACTTATGGAAGATGGTTTTAGTAACCTGGTATGCTTGAAGCCACTCCTGATCTGTAATTTCAAAATTTGAAGTTGGGTATGGAATTTTGTGGTAATTATTGTGGTATTGTGCTACTCCTTTGATTAAGAGGAAATTCTACTCTTCTGATGTCAAGATGATGCAGGATCCTTAAAATTCTGCACTTAACACTGAGTTTTACAGAAGTTATGGTTGATTTTGGGTGTAGCTGAAGAGATGGTTTGTACTTTAGGGAGCTATTCTAAGGGTAAGGTTATGCTATTCAGGAAGTAAACAAATCAAGAACTAAAGGTCTTCTGGAGAACTCAATTGGTAAAAGGGAATAGAAATCTAGCATCACATTAGGGATTGTAGAAATCACTCCTAGGAATTCTTAGGTATCACACACATCTTCCAAAGTTGGATGAAATTTCTATGACTTATTTATTCCTTCCTTAAAAAGTTGGGTTACGAGCTCTATACATGGATAAGCCAATAAGGAGGTGACTTAGGGAGGTGTTTGAGGTGCACCATAGCTAGTGCTACCTGGCCATTCAACTACTTAATAGTGAAGTGGTTGACTAGTCAAATTTTACAAAAATGTCAAAAAATACCCCTATGAAACAAAAAAACTACAAAACTGCCCCTGTTAAAACCCCCAACTCCTACATTTCTACGAAAAAAGCTTATTTAGACTAGTTCTAACAGAGAGCCTGGCCAAATAGCGATTTGATGCAGAAATAAAAGAAGCAGAATTATTGTATATCTATGTTATTTTTGTAGACTAAGGTATTTCTGTAATGCTAGATTTCTTGGAAATATTTTAGGTTAAAGTTTATTTTCTGTTAGTATTTTATTTTATTAGTTCTAAATTAAGTAGGTTTGTTAGGCTTTCCTATTCTAAATAGGACAATTTTCTTTTATTGGAATACAAGTGTTGTTGGACTTGGACTAGGAACTCTATACAAAGATATGTAATCTTTTGATTCAGACAGAGTTAATTAATAAAAAAATTCAGCAATTTTGCTTTGTGACTGTGGGATGCAGTCTTCCTTAGCTGCAACCATAATTTTAAATTGCAAACATAGTTGAAGAAACAGTTGCGATCGCAATCGCGGGTCGAAGCTTATCTCAGTAGTAACATAACGGTTGCGACAACTGATATCGTGAATACATTAGCAGCTATTGATAACTTTATTCTAATTCACATATTTTTAACAGTTTTACTAATTAAGCATACTAATAATATCTTATATTATGGCAAATAAATGACGTTACTTAACGGTAATGCTGTTATTCGTTGTAATTCATGTGAAATGGCAACGGAGCCCATATAATGCCGAATAACAGTAACGGGATGCCCCGAAACCAATATGTAACGGCTTTTATTTGAATCTATGGTTGCGACTCCTAAAAGACCATAGGTGTGAAGCTTAGGCTTTTCTCCTTTTAGGCGTTGCTCCTAGAAACCCTACTAGTGTGGCTCTACCAGTTTTCTCATTCATCCTCAAATCCTGTAAACAATCTCTATTAATTGGATAACACCCCAACATTCATAACCAACCAATCTTACAACCATCAACCATCAAACTCAACCTAATACCCCTCAAAACACTGTTCACACCATGAAACAGCCCTTCCTCAAATATTAGCTTTGGAAGTAGGTTTCCCCCTATCTTCAAATATCACATAAAGATATATAAATTCTAATTGGTTTCTGTTTCGCTTGATCTCTTAGTAAATAGCAATTTCTGGTGAATGTTATTTGGGAAAGATGTTTGGCCGAGAAGTTCGAGTTATTTTTGTCACATTCCAAAGCTTTTTACATTTTTACATGGTTTTGTATTCATATGGATGATGAATGGTTACAACGTATGATGGTTAGGAGAAATACATACTATGATGATTAAACGAATGATTCTCTCACTGGTCAAACATTGTTTCATGATTATCTGGCTTTTTTATTTTCAAGTTTGATCTTAACTTTTGCTGAAGTGCAGGGAGCGTTTCTGACCACTAACCAAATCTCATTGAATTGGTACCAAATTACCGTAATAAATTTATCAATGATAGATTTGAGGCCAACTCTTTAAATTAAGAGATGATAGTTCGATTCCAACATTGGTCAAAGAGTTTCCATTACTTTGTTTGTTATTCTTTCAAGAAGCTGTGGGTTACTTCATTTTTAGAAAGGGAAATTGAAAGTTTAACCTGCTCAGGTGCATTGTAAATCATAACTAACTACAACTAATTAGGATACAATCTATTTAATTGGTTTAACTAACTAGAAAACAATCAATTTTAATCAAGTTTTTTTTTCACTATTCTCTTTAATATTTTAGTTTAGTTTTTTTTTTTATCCTTTCCCAAAATTAAATAAATCTATAGCCTTCATTTTGTTTTTACATAGAATATCTTACTCACCAATCCTTTTTATTCCATTTCATGCCTCCCTCGATAATTGAAAAAAGAAAGACATAACGGGGTGTGATGTGTGCAAGGTGAGAGTGAGGTGTGCTCAGTTTTGAAATTGAGTTAGAAAGCTCCCATGCATCAGAACGAAGTGGTGTGTATTGTAATCCATGTTTAAAACTATATTAAGACTAGTTTATACTTAATAAATTGAAAAAAGAAAGAAATGCTACAAATAAATAACAGGTAGATATAGAACCATGTAGAATAACCTGAGTGAAATTAGGTGGGACAAAAGTTAGGGAGAAACTAGGAGTTATGCTTTTCTCTTGAACTTCTATTTTTAGACTCAATGATAATAAGGAAAAGTAAAATGTCCTTAGGGCACATATTAGTATCTGTATATGCTCTTTTAATTTTAAAGAACTCTTACGGCCTTACCTACCCTCTAATGGCTGGGGAAGGAGAATTTCAACACTTTACAGGTTATTACACTACTGACATTATGTAATTCTATATATATTCCTAGCACATGGCAAGCCCTATGCATATAGTTCGACTCAGTTGACTAAGAAGAATTTTCATATGCGTTTTACACTGTGTATAAGTCTTGCCCGTAAAACTTGATTTAGGGGATGTTTCCTGTATAGCAGTTATCTGCAAACTACAGGTGCAAGTGTGAGGTTAGTGATGGTTTTTTTTTTTTGTGAAATACATGTGGTCATGTTGGCTTCACGCATTGGATTTTGTTCATTATTGTTTTGAATTATTATATTTTTGCTGCTTTGAAATGTTTGTTACTGTTGCTGTGGTGCTGTAACAGAATGTGGAATTAGTTATAGAATTGCTAAAGCAGAATTTCTTGTTCTCAGATAGTAAATGTTCCTGAGAAGGGGGCAAGGAAGCATCCTCGGGGTGATAATATACAGGTATAGTCTTGAAATGGTTTTGAATCCTTGAATTTTTCATCATATGCAATTTGTCCATTATAAGGTAGATTTTACTACTTGAGAAATTTTCATCCTAGATTGTGGAACCAAATTAAGTGTTATCGTACTTCAGAGTTCTAACATAGCATCATTTTATTTATGCATTCCTTTCATTGAGCTCATAAAGAATTCCTTTATATTGTTTCCTGCCAAATTGATGATATTAAATGCTTGCATAGATTTTTGGTAAGGGCCTTTTTATGTATTCTGCAGGATCGTAATAATTCATATTTCAGAAAATTAGTAATAACCAGGAAAGATTTATGTATTTTATAGGATCCTAATAATTCATATTGCAGAAGATTAGTAATAACCAGGAATGGTGTTGCATTTTGAGAATAAATCATCAACATCATAATCAGAGAATTGCCAATGTTTTTGTCTTGCTGCTGCTTTACAAATTTGATCTTCAATTCTTATAAATGTTCTGCAGATAGATACAAAAAATATCCTCTTTATATGTGGTGGAGCTTTTGTTGATCTTGAAAAGACCATTTCAGAGAGGTAATGGCTTCAAACAATTCTCCTGCATAATTTATCTGCAAAATATAGTTTTCTTCTGTTTCAGGGCATTTAAACTGTAACTACTTGATGATATTTTTAAGGAGGCAAGATTCATCAATTGGATTTGGAGCACCTGTTCGTGCTAATATGAGAGGAGGTGGAGTTACCAATGCTGCAGTCACTTCGTCTTTGCTAGAATCCGTAAGAATGAAGACCCTCCTATGTTAGTGAAATGAAAGTTGAATATTTACAGAGTTTCTATCTTCTATGATCTTATTTCAACATAATGAATGATGTTAGTTAAGCATGGAAGGAAGAAGTTACTGGTGAAATCTCTCCTTGAACTTGAAAAATAAATTTTGCATGGTCAGGTTGAGAGTGCTGATCTTATTGCGTATGGCCTTATACCAGAGTTTATTGGACGTTTTCCAATATTAGTTAGTTTGGCAGCTCTAACTGAGGATCAACTTGTTCGGGTAATTCTCTGTTATACTGGTATTTTTTTGGTTAATTTATTTATTTATTTTTTAATTTTTAATAAGCCCTGTGCCAGTCTATATTTGTCATCATCCCATTTTGGGTTGTTTGCGAATGACTGGGAACCATTCAGAATGCAAGAGAATGATTTATCAACTGATTGTAGGAATTTATGATGTTACAAACATGTATAGGAACAGTTACATTCAAACTCAAAGTATTTACTACTAGCTTACCTAAAAGAAAACAAATTCTTTCAGCTCACTCCAGTTTGCTAATTTAGTTAGTTTGGGCTAGCAAGCCTCATTTTTTACTTTGGTTTTTGTCATCTCTCTAATAAGTTCAAGAGTGTATTTTCTAAGATAGCATTATATATTTCTGTATCTAGGAAAATTACTGACTTTGACATTAGTAATAGTTGAAATTTGGGTCATTTATTTGGCTTTTATAATTTGATCACAGATTTTGGTTTGATTAAAATGGAAGCATTAGGACAGCCTGGCCCTTCCAAATGCATGCCTGCGTCAGTGCTCTTGTATTTTGCATAATGTACTATATATTCTTAGTTTCACCCTGAAATGAGCAGGCCAGAGTTGAAATTAGGATTTTCAGTTTAAAATATCTGGGCTTGTGTTTACAGGTTCTCATGGATCCAAGAAATGCTCTTGGTAAGCAGTACAAGAAATTGTTTAGCATGAATAACGTACGACTCTCTCTCTCTCTCTCTGACCATTTAGTAGTTAAATTCATATGATTGCTTTCGTATGATGGTTATTTACCACTTCTTAATTTCAGGTGAAGCTACATTTCACTGAAAAAGCACTAAGACTAATTGCCAAAAAGGCAATGGCTAAGAATACTGGTGCCAGGGGTTTAAGATCCATACTTGAAAGCATACTAACTGAAGCTATGTATGAGGTATGTGATGCCCCAAGGCTTATAAGCAGATATTATCGACCATTACTATAAAGCATTTGATTGTGGACGTTGACATATTAAGAGGTTTTGTTGCTTATATGTTTCAGATTCCAGATGTTAAAACAGGAAGCGATAGAGTAGATGCTGTTGTAATCGATGAGGAGTCTGTAGGTTCGGTAAATGCTCCTGGAAGTGGTGGGAAAATTCTGCGTGGAGATGGTGCTTTGGAGCATTTCCTAGCAGAATATAAGTTAAAGAATTCAGTGGTATGGTTTCTATTTATAGTTTAGATGTTGTCTCCATCCATTTGTATGCTTTTATCTGAACTAGTTTATGTTTTTTAATAACGCATTAGTGTGATAGGACCTGGCTGAGTAGAATCTGCTGGTTGAAAGTCACTTCTAAGCTGCGCTTCTGACATTTAATGGCCAGCTTCCTTGGTTTTCTTTTGAATAGTATTTTGCCTGTTGAACAATGGCCTGTGTTTTTAGGATTATCTGGTTGACCTGTGTTTTTGTTTTGCAAGTGACAACTAATTGGGCAATTCTTATTTATGTTTATAGGACGCTGTTGACGCAGCTGATGGGGAGTTGCAGGAGGCTGAATCAGAGGTTTCGTCAAGAGCAATGAGCATGTAGCACTACTACAAAGATAACTGTTAACTTATAGTTACAATTCCTCTTTTTATTTGTAAAAATCACCTTCATGATTGGATGTAATTATACCTTGTAAAACAGCATAGTTTCTGGTGAAAAAAGCTCATTGGATGATAGGAAAAGTTAACGAAGAAAATACTTTTGTATATTCATTCTCTTTGAGTAATAATTTATCAATTTTCAACTTCAATTGGTGTTTCCATTGTCCTTTTTTTGGCGTTGTTGGATGATTGCAGTTTTTTTGGCCTTTCTTCCTCACTCCTTCTTCGACCATGCTCTTCAGAAAGCTAAAACTCCAGGCTATCTGATGGATCTCTGAATTATGATTTCATCATGTGCATCAACTTGCCTTGCAGCGAACATGTGGATATGTAAGGTTGGATTTCTGTAATGTTTCTATCTTCAGCAGCTGTGCTTGGCCACAGAAGAAGATTTTAAAGGTGCCTAATTCCCTAATCAAGCCAGCCAAAAACGAGTAAGATGATTCTCAATTCCCATCCCAAGAGTTTACTATTATTCATTTGATAAATGAGGTTTTGGTATGATGTCAAGCACGACTTCGACCGACAAAACAGCTTGAATTTCGAAGTGTTTTGGCCTTGTGGTTGTAAGAGGTATAGTTAAGTCACAAACTGGTAGCCCTTTGCTTCCAAATTCTGCCATCTTGACTGGGGTTTAGGTCCTATTCTAGATTAGGTTATCAAACGCCTAACATGTGGAGGGATGACTTCTATCTTACACTGCTTAGGTTTTTTCCTCCTTTGTGTGTGGTAAAATTGACCACTCAACTTTGTGTTTATTTATTTATTTTGGATCCTCGTTTAACAGGCTTAAAAATCTGTATTAATCCTTTATTGTTTTGTTCAACCTACAAGATAAAAATAGCTACTTAAATACTTTTTTTTTTTTTATATATATAAAAATTCGAACTCGAGATCACTTAATTAAAATATTAAAAATTTTTTTAATCAAATCAACTCTTTTGTGTAACTTTATGTTTATTGAATTATTATAATTCAGCACGAGGCAAACACAATATCTACTTGTGTTTTAATTTGGGATTTGGGGCCACCGGGGATGCTTAGACAACCCCTGATCCTGCAGTAACTTTTCATAAAACATTGCAGTAATTCTTAGTGCTTGCTACCTCCATGATCCTGCAGTCACTTCTCACAAAACATTGCACTTTTCACAAAGTAATTTCTGTTAGTTCTTGTTATCCCTATCCGTATGACACATCATAAAAGGGATTAACCCCATGAAATGTCTCTCTAGTATTTATATATATTTTTCTTAATATAGTGTTTCTATTTTTTTTTTATATTTATTTATCACATATTTTTATTCTTAAAGTTTCCTTAATGTGCTCCATTTAATAGTTTTTCAACTATTTTTTTTTTAATAAAAAATGACAAGTGGCAAAAAATACCACATGTGATGACATGTTAGATTTATTTATCACATGAAAAAAAATTAATCATGATATGTGCCGGAAAACTGGCAATCTTTGACAATATTGCATCACAACCGCAGCAACAAGTGGGTAGGTCCTTAAACATTGTCTTCACATCATTCGCTTTTGAAAAGACCTTTGAAAGCTCTGTTTCTGTTTTTCTTCAACAGAGAGTTGTAAGCCAAGACCCCCACCTGAATCTACTAACAATAAGAATATTGCTGCGGATAATAAAGAAGCTGCCAATGGTGGTAATAATGTTATTGCAGCACAAACTTTCACTTTCCGGGAGCTGGCCACGCTACAAAGAATTTCCGATAGGAATGTTTAATTGGTGAAGGTGGATTTGGAGGAGTTTATAAGGGAAACTTGATATAAGTGGCCAGGTAAATTATTTTTTTCATTGATGTCTGCTGATCAGTTCTCTCTAGCTTCTAAAATATATATATAATTTTGTCAAGTTTCATTTATAAAATAGAAAATAAAAAATAAAAAAGTGACCCTGGTTCAATTAATTTGTTCAGGTTGTGGCTGTGAAGCAACTTGATAGGAATGGTTTGCAAGGTAACAGAGAGTTTCTTGTTGAGGTGTTGATGATGAGTCTATTGCACCATCAGAATCTAGTAAATCTTATTGGATGTTGCGCTGATGGAGATCAAAGACTTCTGGTGGAGAACGTGCCAATGGAATCCCTTGAAGACCATCTATCAGGTACAGTACTAGTTTTTATTTTTGTTTCTTTGAAGCCAGATGGCTGCTTTCCAAATCAAATGATGAATATATACAAATTTCAGATATTGCACCAGAGCAAAAGCCATTAGATTGGTTCTCAAGAATGAAGATAGCATTAGGAGCTGCTTTAAAATACTTGCACGATAATGCAAAATCTTCCAGTCATATATCTTGATTTGAAATCGGCAAATATCTTGCTGAACAAATTCTATGAGGCCAAACGCTTTGATTTTGGGCTAGCAAAGCTTGGACATGTGGGGAATAAGTCGCATGTATCTTCAAGGGTAATGGGAACATAAGGTTATTGTACACGAGAGTATCAAAGAACTGGCCAACTCACAGTCAGTCATGTCAGATGTCTACAGTTTTGGAGTTGTTTTACAAGAGTTGATCTCTGAAAAAGGGCTATTTACAAGACAAGACAGATCGATGAGCAACATCTAGTTGCTTGGGTAAGAAATCTCAATTTTCTCTTTAATTTCCTCTTGTTAATCTATGTATCCAGTAACTTCAATATTTCCTACTTTTGCTTTCAAATTTTGTTATTCAGACTGTTAAGTGCTCGATCGTCTCCACCACACGTGACTCGAAGATGCGTCCTTTGCCTTCCACAAGCTATTTTGAAAAGAGATAACAGAACAAAATTAATAATCGCCGAAGCTATCAGTAGAATATGTGAAGAATAATTGTAATTCTTAGTCAACTCAGTATTGCCTTTAAATAGGCCGGTTACAATGGGAAGAAGGAAATATACTAAAGAAATAACTAACAAACTGGAGACCTCTCCAACAAGAAGTAAACTAGGAAACAAGCTCATGCAAGATAGGACTGTTTCCCACAATGAGCAGCCCATTATTAACTGTAGTAGACTTAGTCCTAGGGGTTACACGTTAACATGACTTACTGTAATAGCTCCCCCTCAAAAAAAAAAAAAAAAAACAAACAAACTCCTTGTCCTCGAGGAGTAAGAAAATTTATGAAAGTTTTGGAGGAAATTGGCATGGTTGATCCAAGTAGCATTTGATTCCACAGATCCTACTAGGGGTGAGCATTATTCGGTAAAAACTAAAAAGCAAACCGAACCGAATTAGCAATTTCAGTTCGGTTTTAAAAAAATTTGAAAAAAAACCGAAACCGAAAATCGAAATTATTTCGGTTCGGTTCGGTTTTTTTTCTCAAATTCGGTTTCCACCGAAAACCGAATTAATTTTTTTTTAACACATACCCAAACTCTTTTTTTAAAAAATAAAATAAAATAAAAGAGGCACCAATGGGTTTAATTAAAAAAAATAGCTTTAATGATTTTTTTCTACTTAAAATAAAAATATTTCCATTAATTATTTATTGAAATAATAAAATAATTGATTATATTATATTGACACATAAACAAATAAAAAAAGGACTCTAATAAAGTAATTCTTTATAAATACACAAGTTTATTGTGGGTGAATCCTAAAACCTCATGGAAAAAAAAATTGTCTCCATGTATTAAAATTGGCACAAAAATATCCCCTAAAAAAATTGAGATGAAGCCATTGCATTTATAATATTACTATAGTAGTATTAATAATAACTAACAATAGTAATTTTTCACTCTTTTTATGCTTCTACTAAACATAAATTAAAAATTAGATTTTTTCAGATTATCTATTCAACAATAAAATATGCACAAGGTAAGTAGATTAAAAAGGATATAAAAAATTAACAAAAAACCAATTGTAGTGTGATTGAAAAAATAATAAGAAGCCCAACCAATATAGTTTATAATATAAATAGAAACAAAATTTAGTATAGAAAAATAATAATAATCTTACATAATTTTTTTTTTTTATAAAATCAAATGTGAAATATGCAATATTTGATTATGCAAGTTTGATATTTTTTAAAAGCAAACTAATTCGGTTTTGAGAAGAAAAATGTAAAAAAAAAAAATCGATTTTTAATCGAAAACCAAAAAACCGAACCAAAAAAATTGGTTTTTTAACCGAAAAATCAAACCTCTATTCGGTTCGGTTTTATTTTAGCCAATTCGGTTAACCGAAAAAAACATCAAAATCGAACCGAAAAATCGAATGTTCACCCCTAGATCCTACCATTTGACTAAATACTCCATCTTTCTTCCTTACCCACGTACATTAAGGATGACTTTCGAAACTTTTGGAGAATCATTACTAGTATGGCGTAAATCGACGATTGAGCAAGTAACTTATGAGGAATCTCCGGAGATAAGAAATACTAGATGAATTTTGCTAGAGAGTAGTAAATTCGGTTTATAGACAACTCGCCCAATCTTCTCAAGTACTTGAAAAGGTCTATAAAAACGAGCAATAAGTTTTTGAGAAGCCTTTTTAGCCATAGAGTGTTGGCTATATGGCTGAAGTTTCACATAAATCTCTTGGCTTACACTCACATTCAACATGGTTTTGATCGTAGACTTGTTTCATTTAGTTCTATGCTCCTAAAAGACAAAGTCGTAGTTCTCGAAGGGTTTAGTCCCTTTGGAACAAACAATCCTCTACTCGCTTGGACTCTAATCGTCCCTAGTGCAAAAGAGAGAAGAGTTAGGGGAGGTCGGCCATAGAGAATTTCGAAAGGAGTGAGTCTCATCAATGAATGGAAGTCGTTGTTATAGCAAAAATTTGCCAAAGCAATCTATTTGGTCCACTCCTTTGGCTTGGAGCTTGTGAAGCAAGAAAGGTACATCTCAATGATTCCGTTTACCACCTTTAATTGGTCATCGATTTATGGATGATAAGTAGAGCTAAAATTAAAAACATATACCTTGCAGTCGAAAAGCTCATTCTAGAAGGCATTCATGAAGGTAGGGTCCCTATCACACATAATGGATTAAGGCATGTCATGGAGTTTGAAAACACTCGTCAAAGAAAAATTGAGCAATATCGAAGCGGTGTAGAGATGAGAGAGTGGGATGAAATGCGCATATTTGGATAGTTGATCAACCACCACCAACATAGCTTTTTTACCTTTTGGAACCGGAAAGCCTTCAATGAAGTCCATTACGATATCGACCAAAACCTATAAGGGAATTGGAAAAGGCTAAATCAAATCTATAGGTTTCGTAATTCTGATTTGTGACGTTGATAAATGTCACATTCTCTTGTGAATTGGCGAAGTCCCACTTTCATTCTCTTCTAGTAGAAGGTGGCCTTAAGTCCGTGTAATATTTTGTGATATCCTTCATGACCACTCCTATGGATTTCTTACGAGTAACATCGAATTAGTGATGACTTTTTTGAAAGGTAGATTCTTTTATTAAAACAAAAGATTCCATTGTGTATTTGTTAAGAGCCTACCGCCTCCCTTTGCTATACTAAATGATGCATATGTCTGCAGCTTCCGGGTGGTTCTTATTTTTTGTGAAGATAGGATCAAGCTAGTGAGGTACTAGAGAGGACAATGCACTAAATTCACCTTGATCCCTCTTGGAGATGGCATTGGCTACTCGCATTGGTGTGCCCTTGTTTATACTTAATGCTATAGTCATACCAATAGCTCAATGAGCCCCATCTTTTGTGCTTATATGGCAATCCTCTACTCCAGTAAGTATTTGAGACTTTTTGGTCGGTTCTAACTATGAAGCATCCTCCCAACGGATATGGCCTCCATTTTTGAACTGCAAGTACTAAGGCTATTAACTTCTTCTCATAAGTAGAGATGGATAGGTTCTTACCTTAGAGATTGGTATTGAAAAAGGCAATAGATTAATGATTTTACATAAGTACGACTTCGATTTCCACCCCGAAGCATCACACTCTACCACAAATGAGAGAGAAAATTTTAGGAGGGCTAAAACTAGTGCTTGAGTCATAACCTTCTTGAGTCGTTGGAAGGCATTATCTCGCTCTTGGTGTGGTGCTAAGAAAAAAATATTTTTCTTTAACAAATTGGTCATACAATTGCTCCATGACCAGCTATAAACCTCAAGTAGTAGCCGTTAACCCTAAGAATCCTCTTAGCTCTTTAAAAGTTTATGGTGTGGGCTAGCCGACCATTGCTTTAATTTTATTTGGATCAAGCAATGACTTCCTAGTGGTTAATAATATGCCTTAAGTACCGAATTTGCTTCTAAGCCGACTAACACTTTTCTTTCTTAACAAAAAAGTGGTTTTCCCTCAAGATAGAGAAGACAATGTTTACATGATACAAGTGTTCTATCTCACTCTTGCTATATATTAAAATGTCATAAAAAAGACTAAAACAAATCTCAAATATTGCTGGAAAACATTATTCATAAGAGCTTGAAAAGTAGAAGGAGCATTTGATATTACAAATGACATTTTCAGGAATTCATAGTGACCATGGAGGGTGCGAAAAGCAGCTTTGGCAATGTCATCGGGATGCATCCGTATCCGATGGTACCCAACCGAAAGTCCAACTTGGTAAATCATTCTACCACTTTCGGTTTATCTAATAGCTCCTCAATCACTAGTATGTATACTCACCCTTGATAGTGATCTCATTCAATGCTTGATAGTCTATGCAAAATCGCCATAAGCCGTCACTCTTCCTTATAAACAAGACAGAAAGCAACAAGGACTTTGATTGGGGCAAATGAGCCCCCGAGTGAGCATCTCTATTACTAGTTTTTCAATCTTTTTTTTTTTTTTTTTTTTTTTTTTTTTTTAGTGAGGATTGTTATTACCTAATTTCTCACCCCTATTGCTTTTCTTTTATTTTAGGAAAAAATACAAAAAAAAAAAAAAACACTGAAAAAAGAAAAGAAAAGAGAAAAGAAGTCAATTTAAATAAGTGGCTCAAATTAGTTTTGGAAGTCTAATTAAAAAAATAAAAAATTTGAGAATCAAGAGAAACCCGATTGAGGATATAATTACAAAGCCTAAAATCCTAAATCTTTAAATAAAAGAAAGGAAGGGTATAATGGAAAGAAATCTAAAAGAAGAGATCTTAATTAATTGTAATTTAAGGGTGCTATAGAAGTTCAAACAATCAAAATTATGCTTAAATTAATGAGTTAGGAGGAATCGGGGACTAAAATTGATCTTTGTACAAAAAGTCCTAATTTTTACCAATAAATATCTACCTTCTTCTCATGTCATAGACCAACCACTATTTACTCATCTTCCTCAAAAAGATTTCAGCCATCATTTCTTTCCATCTAGCCAAGTATTACCTCGAACTCATTAATAAATAAAT